AATGCGGGAATCGGTTGTCTCACTCCTGTTATTTTTCTACTCTTGATAATATATATAGGGTTAGGGTTAGGGCTAAGGTTAGTCAGAAATAGCTAAAGAGCGAGGTCAAACAGAGGTCAGGGGGACATAGACCCTACGAGTGCTAGTGCAGGGAAGCGATTATGATGCCTACGCTGGGTAGCCATTGTTGTAGCCTTCTACGTAGCCGGTGCCGGATAGCGAATACAGCAACTTGCTTCCGTACTTCGCTGAATACTCTCTGATGTTCACCCTGCCGTCTTCGTAATCAAGGTCGTAGTCGACCCTGCAGCAGACAAAAGATGCTGTAAGCAGGATTTCGCAATCACATCTAAAAATGCACGCGAAAAAATCTCCGGCTGGAAAAGTGCCGAAATTTCTACCACGAGTGGAAGGAGCACTCGAAATTTCACACGGGGAAAGAAAGTGTACACACGTTCGTCGAGAAAAAGAAAATGTGCGCGCATTCGACGAAAACAAAAAGAAGCACGACACATGGAGAAAGAAGAAAGGGCATGTGTTCGACGTAAAAGAAAAGAGAGCATAACACGGAGAAAGAAAGTATGCCCACGTCAAATGAAGACAATACAAGAGCGGATCATGCAGGGGAAGAAAGTGCGCGCACGTTCGACGAAACACAAAAGAAGACAAGAAAACAAATGGCAGCCCGCGACAGACGACGTACTTGTAAGTCTGGAAATAGTCGGACGTGACGGTGTAGTGCAGCGATTTACTGTACGTGTTGCGGCTCTGACTCGCGTCGCCGTTCGCCTCGATGCCAAGCAGACACTTCTCGCCGACCTTGATGAAGGTGTCGGTGAGATTGAAGGGCGCGGCGCCGTAGTAGTCCGAGCGACTCGCAAAGATGTAGCCCATAGTGATCGGTTCGGCGAACCAGCTCTCGAGCGAGACAGACGCGCGCTTCTCACCGTCCGTCGCCTGAAATGCGTGAAGATCACACAAAGGTCGTGAGCTGTGGCTAACTCCACTTATTTTCATGTAATTTGCAATTCTGGTTTAAACTTGCATCTTACAAAAATGGCGCCCTAATATTTTCAATCGATTTGCATTTCTTCAATCGATTCCCTAAAATTCTACTTGTTAATCCACTGGTAAACATATCTCAATTTGATATCATCGATAAAAATCAAAGGATTGGAAAGGATCGATATATCGAAAGAAGTACCGCATCACAAAAAAATAAACACAGGTTTTCAAATGAAGCCAAATGGTAACAAACAAAATAAATTTTGCTGCAAACCCCAACTCTCATCCAACACAAAGGCATTCTTAAAATTCATCACTTATCTCGTAAAAATTTAAGATAGTGGCCCCTGACTAGCAACTCGTTGGTGTGTTGAGTCAGTAACGAATAACTTACACTGCCCTCGGCTAAGAAGTTGACAATCTGCTTGTTCTTGCAGCGCATGAGGAACTCGGCTCGTGGCCGGTATGCCTCCACGCCGGAGAAACCTGCCTTTGAGTAGAACATCTCCTAGTGAACAGAAGAGACGCGAGACGCTGTTAGAACTAATGCTTGCTGCTGCAACAACTAATCACTCTCGCGTGAAACAGCAGCAGCAGTAGCAGCAGCAGTAGCAACAGCAGCAGCAGCAGCAGCAGCAGCAGTAGCAGCAGCAGCAGCAGCAGCACTAGTAACATCAGCAGCAGCAGTGCAGTGGTCACTAGTCGATTGGTTGCCACAACCAGACAACCAATGCGATCAGGTCTCATGTAGCAATGTATTTGCATTACGATATTTCTCGTTAGAATCGTCACGTACGGTTGTTATGTACTTATTGTATTTGCTGTCATGATGTTATTGGTTATGCACTCAATAATGAAATGACACATATTGGGTATACTATTGATCACTTCACGATAACTTCATACTATGACGATGTTCACGAATTCCCCACCGTCACTTGAACGCACTCTGACGTGCGGGACGACCGTAATGCTGCGAAGCCACAGTTCCATATTGCTACACAGAGTTGTAGATCACTAGAAGAACATGCCCACAACTAGTTCTGCAACTGTGTTTGCTAGGAGAAACCTGTCTAGATTATACTTATATATAC